ATTATCGAGTTTCAACAAAATAAATAATTATTATCTTTATAAAAAAAATTACATTATTAAAACAAATATAAATTACTTCGTTATTGTACATAAATTAAATTATAAAAAAAATTGAATTAAAAAATTACACAAAAAAATGAGGAATTTCAAATAGTTAATTTGATACTAATATCAAAATATTTTTGTCAAATTTTTATGATATCTTCAAACATATATTTTATTCAACAATAAAAACATTATCGCTTTTGGGCTGTTCGCCCATTAAAGCGGTACGTGAGTTGGGTTTATCTTTGTTACCTTTTCTTAATAGTGGATTGTCCCACACTAGCACTTCCACGCAATAATTCTACCAAAGGTTCAAAATCACATAAAACCATATTATAACATCGACTGAGATAAAGAATAAAGTGAAATATTAAAATCACGATTTATCTCGCTGCATTGCGCGAATACGCTTCTAATAAATATTTAATATCAACGTTTTTTTATTATTAAAATATAATAACAATTAAAAAAATGGTTATGTTTTATGGTAATAATTTTTTGGGAGTTCTTCAAATTTAGAGAATTTTATATTCTCACATGTTTTTTTTATTTTATAGAATCTATTGGGAAAAAAATCCCAAAATTTCCATTTTCTTCATTTTAAAAGATTCTGTTAGAGTTGCTCTCATATCCAACTCAGTTCTATCTAATTCCAGCATAATTGTCTCAGCAAACGTGCAATGACAAATTTTTATTCTCTCTGTCTTTTCTTGTCTTGCATACCAGATAAATTAATGAAGACAAATTAAAACCCGACAAATTACAATACTAAACCAAATTAGTCCAATCAAGTTAGATCGGCTCATCAAATGGGTTTTTGGCCTCCTACCAGGTCAGGAGTTCAAACTTCACTAAAGGTGAGGAGGGTGTGTGAGCTTATTTGTTCTATTCTGTCGTATATACATATTATATACTTCAAAAAGAACTCTAAAATGGAGGTGGGAAAGGGAGTGAGAATGGAGAAATCTCAAAATTTACAAATAATTATTTATACTGGTTTGACATCGATAATAAGGAGTTTTTGATTAATTACTCATTTCTAACTTATTAACTTATTCCGTTGTGGTACCGGTAATAAGAAGTTTTTAGTGTTTGGATGGAAAAAAGAAATACTTATGAGCTTATTACGTTTTGATACTGTCATAATCTAATTCAAACACTTTTTATAAAACTCCGGTTTAATACCACATAAGTTGATAAGCATTTTTAAAAAGAAAAAAAAAGCATAAGTTGTTTTAAATAAGCAATCTCAAACACCCCCTAAGTGCAGAAAAGTTGTTGAACCTACTAATACAACATAATACTCGCTCATTATTTTTAATAAAATTTCTTTTTAAATCTAAAACATTTAAATTATAATAAGATTTTGAATTAAACGAATCATTAAAAAAAACAAGATTTATAATAGTTAATTTGATATTAATATCGTTTTTAAGTTTTTAACAGATTTTCAAATTAATAATACATAAATTTTAAACATATTCGTACATAAATTTTGGATTTTATTTCTTAATAAGAATCGGTATTGATTTTTCATCCTAAACTACAATAATATCTTGCATTCAGTATTTTGTTTAAAGATTTTCTTTTAATTAGAAAACGTCTCTGACCGTTAGATTAATTGATCTAATGGATGTGATTAAATGGACGGTCAAAGTAATAGTTTTAAATTTTAAAAAAACCCCACCCCCTATTTTTTATTTAGAAAACAAAATACGAAAAATAAACAAAATTCGAGCGAAAATTACACCAAAAAAATGATCATAATTTTTTCGTCAATTTAACATACATATTGATATCTTTTTTCATCTGGATTTTCGTAGTTTTTCATTTATTTAGCGTTTTCTAGGGAACCTTACCCAATAATTATAAGGGCAAATTGTATGAAAAAGTAAAGTAATTTAACTTGATTCTCATTTTAGGTAATATACTTTCAAACTTTCATTTTGGTATCTAAGACGTAAAGTTTGAAACATTTAAATACCCAGGTAACTGTTGAAGCATTAAGTAGTTACTATGCCGATGTGGCAAGTGATGTGGTATCCAACTCAGTATTATTTGCAATTCAACCTAATTTCATCTCATCACTTGCCACATCAACATGGTAAGCGGTTAATACTTCAACCAGTTACCTGGGTACTTAAATGTTTAAAATTTTACATCTTATGTATCAAAATATAAGTTTAAAAAATACGTTACCTAAAATAGAAATCAAGTTAAATAACGTTACTTTTTCATGCAATTTGTCCTAATACAGATCCACTATCTCGATTAATCCTGTACAACCAATTTTAATATAAAATCATAAATGGAACAATTTTTATTCAAAAAAACTATAAAAAATGTTGAATATTTATGATTGAATTCTTGAAAGATAGCCGTAAAAAGAGTCAAAAAAATCTTTAAACGACGGAAATAGATGTACGGTTTACCGGAAAGTTTGGATAGTTTGTTGAGTAGGGCGGAGAAGGTGGTGTTGTGGCGGAGGACGGTGACTATGCGGGTGTCGCCACCAACATACCGGAGTTGGTTGTCATGAGGACGTGGCAATATCTTCCCGCCGAAACTGCACATGAATCGAACACGTGCTTGTGCGGTGGTATCATCGTATATACGGCCGTCTGACGGTGGATGATCGGAGCGTGGCGAAGAAGCCACCGAGTCGACGGTGACGGAGAGTTGTTGCTCCGCCGTGTAGTGGGTAGTGGTCATTGCTGTGAGCAAACGCAGAGTCTGAAATTAGATTCTATTTGGGATATATAAGATAAAAGACGTGGGCCGTGGGTGGTGGCGTGGGCCCATTTTATTTTTTTAATAAATATGAATATATTTTTTTAATTCATGAGATTATGGGTGCTCAAAAACTCAATCAACTCAACTCAACCCAATGTGAAATAATTCAACTTGAAGCAACTCGGTGTCTAATCGAGTTGTAAAAAAATTCAAACCGTAGGTATTGGGTTGATATTGGATTGTTATTATTTGAACTCAACCCAACCCGATGAACTCGGTACCCTTTTATTTCTTGGATTTAATATGATCGTTAAATTTCTATTAATATATACATTAGACACTTACACTATCACGTACGCTCTTCAGATACACGTATTTTCAATCTATTCACATCTCTATATAACTCATTCGTATATATGTTCAATAATTGTGGACATATATATGTAAATTGAGAAAATTAACTGAATGTGATATACGTAAGAAATATGGATAAGTTGTATCAAATGGTTGATGATGAAAAGAAATTACGAGTAGAAAAATAACATATCCAGGGTTAGCTAAATACTTTAATGTACCAAAGTATCAACCCGACCAACCCATATGGGGTGGGTTAGGTTGGGTTGTACTTTGGTTTGGATTGGGTTGGGTTAAGATTTTTCAAACCACAAGCATTGGGTTGGACTGTTCAAATGTCTTCAACCCGATCAACTCAACTCATGAGCACCCCTACGTGAGATCTTTAAAATCCAAAACAACTCATTAATTGTATTTCAGAAGGGAATTGATATCGTGTATCTCATTAGTGTTGATCTAGCAGTTCTCTTCAATTAAGATTGATTCAAGAATGAAGATCATTTCTTACCATTCTCACCATAAATTCAATACTTAAAGAAAACTCAACCCTTATATATTACAATTAAAGAAACTATCTCCTAAATCACTAATAATTACACTCACAGGCTGTTTATCCAAAACTTATCTGGTAAACGCTTACTTTTAAAAGTCAACACTTTAATTTAACTTATCGTGTAAGATTTTAGTTCATTAAAACGGAATCATATGTAACAATTTATCCGTTGAACACTTGTCGGGTAACAATCGTTACTCCCACTTATCGAGTAAAACTCTCGGTCCTTGTACTCGTTCTTACTGGGTAAGATTCTCAATCTTTATCATATGCATATGATAAAGTAAAATGACATGATAAACACTTACTGGATAACCATTTAGTAAATGGACTCTTAAGACACTCATTAAAATCTAACTCATTTTTCTACCATTTAATCAATTCCCAAAAATTAAAACCTATAAATAAAATTTAATATTTCTTTTCACAATTTTGAACTTAACGAATCAGTACACTTTTGACTTGTTTAGATTTTAATGAAAAAAATGAAATAAACGTGTTTTTTTGTACTTTGAATATGGAGATATTTGTTTATCTTTTAATAGTTTTATTAAGATATATATTCTGAATTATTAAGAGTTGAATCTTATTTGTCAGAAAAAAAAAAGTCTATATCTTAATAGTTCTAAAACATTCTGAATGATTTTGTATCATGGATCTCCCTTAACCATTCAGCGCCCTAATTTCATCGTAAACAATTACCAAACAATTATATTTCATTTTGCACAATATCATGAGAGTCTAATTTTGTCACGGAAGTTTAAAGTTATCAACACATTATTTAAACTAAGAGTTTAAATTAAAATGTCTTTGGGTGTGTAGCTCAGTTGGTAAAAGACGAAGCAATTTTACTCAGATATAAAACAAGCTCTATGATCCAGGTTTGAACCCCTCAATTAGCATAGACGCTGAGGTAGCTCTGAAATATATATTCACATGTGATTTCAAGCAGGCATATTATTATGTTCCGACCCGTCGAAATTGCCAGTAATTAATCTTTTTGTTCAAAATTCATATTTAAAACAATATGAATAAAACTAGTTCGTTTTTTTAGTTTTAATTAAATATAAAAACAACGTAAAATTGCATGAAAAAGTAACGCACTTTAACTTGATTTTTAATTTGGGTAACGTACTTTCAAAATTTTATTTTCTTATGTAAGATGTAAAGTTTTAAACATTTAAGTATACGGGTAACAGGTTGAAGCATTAATCAGTTACCATGCTGATGTGGCGAGTGATGAGATGAAATTGGGTTGAATATCAAATAATACCGAGTTAGATACCACATCACTCGCCACATCAGTATGGTAACTAGTTAATGCTTCAACTGGTTACCCGGGTACTTAAATGTTTAAAATTTTACATCTTAGGTACCAAAATGAAAGTTTTGAAAGTACGTTACCCAAAATAAAATTCAAATTAAAATACGTTACTTTTTCATGCAATTTGTCTTAAAAATAACAACCAACTTCATTTGTATTAAATTAAATGAAATATTGTACAAAGTTTTATGTCATTTTTTGATAATATTTAAATAATTAAAATAATTATTGTCGTAATTTTTTACGATTATTTCATTTTATAGATATAAGAGTAAAGTTTGATTTTGGTTCTTAACGTTTGTAATTTTCAATGAATATCATCTTTAAATTTTAAGGGGCCGTTTACCAAATACTTACTCGGTAAGTACTTACCGATAAAATTTAACAATATCATTTATTTACCGAGTAAGATTTTAGTATACCAAAACAATATTGTATGCATCAATTTACCCAGTAAACGCTTACCGTGGTAAGAGTCGTCGCCCTCATTTACTGGGTAAGACTTTTGGTCATTGTCTTGATCATATCGGGTAAGATTCTTGGTTCTTACCATATTCATCCGGTAAGGTAATATGGCTTGGTAAGTGCTTACACGGGTAAGCGTTTAGTAAACCACTCCTTAAACTTGGATTTGATCCTTATTACATTTGTCAATTTCTAACGGTTTTGGTGTTTCTGTCTAACGATCGTTAACTTTTTTCGTTAAACTTAGTTAAATGAAGGGTATTTCAGTCATTTCAATATATTTAAGTTTTATATTAAAATTAAAAAAATATATTATAATTTTGTATTTTAAATTGTAAAATAAAAAATAAAAAATAAAAAATAAAAGAAAAAAGATAACCATCGAGTATCCCTTTCGTTTTTCTTCTTTTTCTCTTTTTCTCTTTTTATTTGCAATTTAAAAAGGATAACCATCCATAACCAGACAGTTGTTGAGTAAGCTCTTATTAAGTCACATTACTTTATCGGATGAATATGATATGTACTAAATATCTTATGCGAAAACAAGAATCGAGAGTCTTATTTGATAAATGATGATGACGATTTTTACTACAGTTAGCATTTAATTTTTGCATACGAAACCTTTTTGATGGATAAAATCTTAACCACTAAGTAAATGATAATTATTTTAGTCTATATATATATATATATTACCTTATAAATTAGAGTTATCAAAAGTCTTAAAAACAAATTTTAATGCACAAAGTACCATACATTTATGCACAAAGTCTTTAAAGTCTTAAAAACAACTCATAATGCATTAAGTATTATTACTTTATGCATTCCGTCTTAAAATATCTTAATCTACAATTAAAATAACATATAGTACAAGTTACCAATGCACATTATTACATTTTCTTTTCATGTTCACAAGATAATTTTGATATTTTTTACTCATGTTTTCACTCTCTCATAAATCTATGTCTTCTCCTCATCCCCCAAAGTGAGATTCAAACTGATATTCACCATGAGTTATTAAAGGTTCTTTCATTCATCTCTCATTCAATTGCTCTATAACTCCCGGTCTCGCTCTTGATCTCTTGATTCTTTGCTCTTTGTGTAAATCAAATACTTTTGTGGAGTCGTTTAAATATATTGAATTTTAAACTGTCATACAATTTTTTTCATCAATAGATTGTAATTTGAACCATAACTCTTATTTATTCAAATTGTATTAATATGTAACGACCAAGTGTAACTTACATCATCGTCAAATCTTCTCTAATAAAACTAATAAAACTTTAAAATCGTTAAAATTCATGACTCACACCGCATTACACGGGTAGACAACTGGTTTATAAAGAAGTGGAAATCGAGCCGTTGGGAGATGTCGTCAACGCCTTTGACAACCATTAGTTTTTACAAGTTGGCACCGTCCAAACCATTGGCTGTGGGTCCCACCTAAATATTGTGGTCTTGGATCAAGACTCTGATTTTGTAGTTTTACTTAGAAATCATCACCTGTTCGCCACTCCATCCATTTAATGTAGACATCCACAAAAATCAGGTATTTTTAGATTTAGATCCAAGTAAATATTTACAAGATCATTTGATTTATCATATGAGTATGATAGGGACTGAAAATCTTATTCGGTAAGAAATAAGACAAGAATCAAGCATTGTAAGTCTTACCCGGTAAGTAAAGGTGGTGATTTTTAAAGTATTTTCAACAACTATGCTAAAATGAAGAAAAAATAGGAATTTTAGCAGTTTTTTGCTCCAACAGTTTTGTTATCTTGTATGCTAAAATAGATAAAAGATAAGAGAGATTGTAAAAATCTTTAAACAGAGAGAGAAATTATTATTCTAATACTGAGATTTTAATTTTTGAAACTCTGTTTTAGAAAAGTTATAGCATAGATGTTTACCAACAATCCATTTTGATAATCGGGGAATGTAACATTGTAACCAGATAAAGTAAGGGAGGGTGAATTTGTCTGTAAACACTTACTGGTAAAATGCTTGGTAAACGGCCCCTAAATCTATTTTCAGTAGACAAAAAAACTGAGATTTTGGTGTAAAAATAGTCCCGATCGAACTTTGAGGGTTGACTGGGCTTTTTTTTTTTTTAAATAGGCTTGTTCGAGCCTTAAGGCCTAACCTGGGTCTAGACTGAGCTTTAGGTTATTTTACACGTCGCTACTCGATCGTATCCAAACAAGGTATCAACTCATCCATATCCTCAGTTTACCAACATAAGTCGAGTAACGTTAACCAAGTAAAAGTTTGATCTGGGGTAAGAGATTC